ATCTCAATGCTTCTGATGTCCTGTAGCCTTTTTTAAGCCACTCCATTAAGGGCTCCATGGCATTCTTCCGGATGGCTTTCCAGATAGTAACAGTAGATCACACCTGAGTAAAGTTTGTTGAAACTGCCACTTGTAGCTTTCATCAGAAGAGTATGTTGCAAGGTAACAACGAAGGAGACAGGGTCAAGGGAGTATCAACCCACAAAAGCACATTCCTGAACATTACCTTCTTGGCAGAATCGCCAGGTTTTATTTTAATGAAAAATGCAGATTTAAAGACTAAATGCATTTGCAGCTTAAATCAGATAAATACATTTTAGATACGTTAAAACAAAAGGAATTCACCTTTATAGTTAGACATGCAGACCCCTTGTCTCTTGCCCGATATTCTTGGGCCAGCTCTGGTTATCCCACAATGTATTAAAGTATTGTCTGCTCGTACTTTCACAACAAGGAAAACAGTGATCTGGGCCGCTTGTGATCTTCTATGTGAAGGGACATACATAGGGAGACATATCCAGGGGCTTCTAAGGTTTTGTACCTTGGGTTACTGCTGTATTCTCACATTTTGTACCCCTTTTCTTCTTTTTGTCCTTGGTCTGTATTTTGTAGTTTTTTTTTTATATTGTGTTTTGTATTCTGTATCTTGTGCTTTATTTTCCATAAAAACAAAAGATGTTCAAGGGTCTTAAAGTTTGTTTTCTTTATAAAGCTACCACAGCCTGAGTAGAAAAGCTTATCTCCTGCCAATATGGTGCAGAGAAGAACCCTTGCTCTCTGTTTGGAAGCAGTTCTCTTTCTGCAGAAGTTGAATATACCCGTTGCTGAGTTAGGCCCCATAAGCTCTTTATTATGCAAAACTTATGCACCCTGTTAATTGATGTACTTACTGGCACACCTTTTAATACTGACTGCGGCTATGAAAGGAATAAAGGGTTCTCCATATGGCTTAGCAAGTGACTTTTTGGATAGGGCCCCTGTGCAGTGACAAAGGCTTTACAAGCAACAAGCAGTATATGCAACCTTAAATAGCCACCTTGCTAGAAACCAACTTCAACTGGCATTAAATGATCAGCTGCTTAAACCTGTAACTCCAGCATGTTGCTGTAGTCAACTGCTGCTGATGGGAACAAGAAAAAAGAATTTCTTATTTCTATACTTCTTTTAGGTCACAGTCTCAGAAAGTAAAGAAGTCAAAGCAGCATGACAGCCAAACAACTAGCATATCCAGAAGTCAGCATTGGCAAGCTACCATATTTCTCTCATGACAGTTTTCCTCTATAGAACATATATAGGTATGACCCAAAATTACCCTTTCACTCTTGCAGTGGAAGGGCAGCCCTATGTCAATTTAAAGGCACCCCCCGCCTCCAGGACTACACTGCTCAACAAAATTAAAGGAACACTTTGAAAACACATCAGATCTCAATGGGGAAAAAATATCATGCTGGATATTTATACTGATATAGACTGGGTAATGTGTTAGGAACGTAAGGATGCCCCATTGTTTTATGGAAATGAAAATTATCAACCTACAGAGGTCTGAATTCAAAGACTCCCTGGAAATCAAAGTGAAAAAATGATGCAGCAGGCTAGTCCATATTGCTGAAATTTCATTGTAGCAACTCAAAATAGTACTCTGTATATTGTATGATGTATGCATGCCTGACAACGTCAGGGCATGCTCCTAATGAGACAACAGATGGTGTCCTGGGGTATTTCTTCCCAGATCTGGACCAGGGCATCACTGAGCTCCTAGACCAGGGGTGGGCAAACTTTTTGACTTGAGGGCCGCAATGGGTTCATATATTGGACCCGGGGGCCGGACCAAGAGTAGATGAATGATGTGTATGTGTCATCCATAGTAAGTATAGTAATATTCCCCCATAGTAAGCATAGTAATTAATCCCCCATAGTAATTAATCCCCCATATAGTAATTCATCCCCCATATAGTAATTCATCCCCCATATAGTAATTCGTCCCCCATATAGTAATTCGTCCCCCATAGTAATTCATCCCCCATAGTAATTCATCCCCCATAGTAATTCATCCCCCATATAGTAATTCATCCCCCATAGTAATTCATCCCCCACATAGTAATTCATCCCCCACATAGTAATTCATCCCCCACATAGTAATTCATCCCCCACATAGTAATTCATCCCCCACATAGTAATTCATCCCCCATATTAATTCATCCCCCATATTAATTCATCCCCCATATAGTAATTCATCCCCCATATAGTAAGTCCTCCATATAGTAATTCATTCCCCATATAGTAAGTCCTCCATATAGTAATTCATTCCCCATATAGTAAGTCCCCCATATAGTAATTCATTCCCCATATAGTAAGTCCTCCATATAGTAATTCATTCCCCATATAGTAAGTCCCCCATATAGTAATTCATTCCCCATATAGTAAGTCCTCCATATAGTAATTAATTCCCCATATAGTAAGTCCCCCATATAGTAATTCATCCCCCATATAGTAAGTCCTCCATATAGTAATTCATTCCCCATATAGTAAGTCCTCCATATAGTAATTCATTCCCCATATAGTAAGTCCCCCATATAGTAATTCATTCCCCATATAGTAAGTCCTCCATATAGTAATTAATTCCCCATATAGTAAGTCCCCCATATAGTAATTCATCCCCCATATAGTAAGTCCCCCATATAGTAAGTCCCCCCCCTGTGTCAATTCACTTACTTTGGTCCGCGCGTTCCTCTCGTATTCCCGCGCCGTTCTGGTCTTCAGGGGAGGACTGTGAGAGGAGTTCGTCACGCTGCCCCGCCTACATCCTGGCTGCCCCGCCTACATCCTGACAGCTGCAGAGTCCTGACGTCCGAGAGGAGGGAGGGGGGCGGCCATCCCGAGAGGGGGGGCGGCCATCCGAGAGGAGAGGAGGGGAGAGGAGGGAGGGGAGCGGGCGCCCGGCACACAGGAGAGCCGCATCTAAATTTGTAAAGAGCCGCGGCTTGCCGACCACTGGCCTTGCGGGAGCCTAGCTCCGCGGGCCGGATTTAAAAGGTCCGCCGGGCCGTATACGGCCCGCGGGCCGTAGTTTGCCCATTGCTGTCCTAGACAGTCTAAGGTGCATCCTGGTGGTGTCGGATGGACCGCAACATGATATCCCAGAGGTCTTCTACTGGATTTAGAACGGGTGAACATTTGGCCATTCAATGGTATAAATTCCTTCATCCTCCAGGAACTGACTGCATACTCTCGCCACATGAGACCGGGCATTGTCGTGCATCAGGAGGAACCCAGGACCCAGCGTAGGGTCTGACAATGGGTCCAAGGATTTCATCCCGATACCTAATGGCAGTCAGGGTGCCATTGTCTAGCTTGTGGAGGTCTGTGAATCCCTCCATAGATATGGCTCCCTAGACCATCACTGACCCACCACCAAAACAATCATGCTGAACGATGTTACAGGCAGCATAACATTCTCCATGGCTTCTCCAGACCCTTTCACGTCTGTCACATGTGCTCAGGGTGAACCTGTTCTCATCTGTGAAAAGCACAGGGCACCAGTGGCGGTCCTGCCAATTCTGGTGTTCAATGGCAAATGCCAATCGAGCTTTATGGTGCTGGGCAGTGAGCACAGGGCCCACTAGAGGATGTTGGGGCCTTAGGCCACCCTCATGAAGTCTGTTTCTGATTGGTCAGAGACATTTACACCAGTGGCCTGCTGGCGGTCATTTTGTAGGGCTATGGCAGTGCTCATCCTGTTCCTCCTTCCACAAAGCAGCAGATACCGGTTCTGCTGATGGGTTATGGACCTTCTACGACCCTGTCAGGCTCTCCTAGGGTAACTGCCTGTTTCCTGGAATCTCCTCCATGCTCTTGAGACTGTGCTGGGAGACACAGCAAACCTTCTGGCAAGGGCATGTACTCATGTGCCATCCTGGAGGAGTTGGACTGCCTGTGCAACCTCTGTAGGGTCCAGGTATCCCCTCATGCTACCAGTAGTGACACTGACCCTATCTAAATGCAAAACTAGTGAAAAACAGTCCGAAAATATGAGTAGGGGAAAAAATATCAGTGGCCTCCACCTATAAAACCATTCCTGTTTGGGGGTCATCTCATTTCATTTCTCATTGCTGCAAATCTAGTACACCTGTTATTTAATTTCGTTAACACCAAAGCAGCTGAAACTGATTAACAACCCTCTCTGCTACATAACTGACCAGATCAATATCCCAGTTTAATTGACTTGATGCTATACTCTGACTAAAAATTGTTCCTTTAATTTTTTTGAGCAGTGTACGTTTCCCAAGAGCCTTCCCCTTTCACAGCCTGTGGGAAGGCTCTTGGGGCTCAAGCCAGCAGCATTGTTTGGCTAGTAAAGTCCAGCAGAATAGAAGACTGCTCGGGATTTATTGCAAAAGAGTCAGGATTTTCAGCTCACTACAGGAAGTTAGAAGTACAGTAGATTTCTGGCAGGATCACCAAGTATTTTTTTATACATACACTGCTTTTAAAGGGATAAAACATGGGGAACTGTGCATGAGTTAGAAATACTAAATATATTTTTTTAATTTTTCTCACTTTAAGCCCTTCTCTACTGCTGTGCATTTAGAAACAGCAGAGTGATGGAGGTGTTATTTCTTTAGTGCCGTGCAGTTGTGCACTGAAGGCTCGAGCAGCCACTGATCTTTACTTAGCCGCCTCCCACCCACCATATAAGGTAATCAAGACAGTTCTCTCGTTCTGGGAGGACGTCCTCCCACTCTAACCGCACGTGCGTGGCTCCGGTGCAGCACGGCGATCGGTGGTGCGCTGTGTCCCTCGGACACAGCGGATCACCGATCAACGGAAAGAGCCGAAGACATTGGCTCGGTCATGTGATCAGCTGTGTCCAATCACAGCTGATCACATGTATATAGGGAAATGCCGGTTATCAGCATTTCTCTCCTCACAAGCTGTCACGCTGACAGCTCGAGAGGAGAGCTGGTAATCGGCATTCCACAGAGAGGACATGTACACTGATCATCAGGGCACTGATAATCAGTGTAGCCCCAGCAGTGCTAGCTGTCAGTGCCTCATCAATGCCATATATCAGTGCCTACCAGTGCACATCAATACCACATATCAGTGCCCATCTGAGCTGCCTTTCAGTGTCACCTATCAGTGCCAGTCAATGCCACCTATCAATGCCAGTCAGTGCTGCCTATCAGTGCAGGTCAGTGCCGCCTATCAGTGCCCATCAGTGCCAGCTACCAGTGCCTCCTCATCAGTGCCCCCTATCAGTTCCCATCAGTGCAGCCTATAAGTGCCCATCAGTGCAGCCTCATTAGCGCACATCAGTGAAGGAGAAAAATCACTTATTTACAAAATTAAGTAAAACTAAGAAAAAACTTTTTTTTTTAAATTTCAGTTGTTGGTCTGTTTAGCAAAAACAATACCCAGAGGTGATTAAATACCACCAAAAGAAAGCTCTATCTGTCTCAAAAAAATGATAAAAATTTCATATGGGTACAGTATTGCATGACCGTGCAATTGTCATTCAAAGTGCGACAGCACTGAAAACTGGCCTGGGCAGGAAGGGGATATAAGTGCCCAGTATGCAAGTGGTTAAAGTTCTTATCAGCTTCCCGGACAGGGTGATGTTGCCACTCTTCCAGCAAGATCCTGGGAATACTGTGTATCTCAAAGCCCTCAAGAAGATATTCCTGCGTTATTCAGGAGTGCATTTTTGTGAGATTTAGGGTACTCTGCACTGTCAGGATCTTGCTAGAGAGATCGCATTGTCAGCCTCGCCTTTGTGCCACAGGTGGAAATTGCAAAGGAGGTTGCACTTTCTAACTTTTCTCTGCAGGTGTTTTTTTCCAGCTATAATGCAGCACTTTTACATGGGTGAGAAGCAGATCTTGCATTTTAGGTCTGCAGGGTGGACACACTGACCTTAGGAATCTGTTTGGGTGATTTCTAGTTGAAAATCGGACCCAAATTGCCAGCAACATTTTCTGTTTCTTGCAGCATTGTATTGAAGTCGTGGTTCAGTCTCCATTTATTTTAGCAGTATGAGACCTAGCATTGTCGCTGAACAATTTCTTTCTAAGAATTACATCTAATTAAAGAAATAAAATACTTAATTTCCAACTTCTGACTTTTGCTTTATACTTCAAGCTGTGCATCTGTGCAATTTTAGGATCATTAGTTGGAAATACAGATAAAACCTCATTTTGTTCAGATAAAAGGATATTTTTCACTTAATATACATCACTTTTATGACTGCCTCTAAATCTGTTCCCTGCAATCAATAGAGTCTTCACCTCTCAGAGATTCTTCATTCCACATGAGATCACTGGAGCTTGTATCTTTTCTTCTCTCTTTGGACTTATCAGCCTCAGGAAGCTGAATAATATAGTGGCAGAAAAAGGTAAACTTTATATGGAAAATTGACAGACTGACAGGGCGTTATTTAATGAACTGAGTGTAGGGCCACACCTGGCCTAACGCAAGGTAAGAATCCTCTCCATGAAGGTGAATTCTTACTTTGTTTCTTGGTTCTTTTGGACCACAAGAACACAATGAAGTGATGCAGAATTTTCAATAATAGGCCAAGACCAGCAGTCTGGCATTTTCCAGAATAGCTAAGTCCTAAGCTGGCCTCCAAGTGGTTTAAATTCAGCTGGTTTAGCAGCGATCAGCTGAAATTCAATTAAAGTGGGGCCATCTAGTAAATTTATTATACACCAATCAGCCATAACATGAAGGAGATTTACTAAAACTGGAGCACTCAGAATCTGGTGCAGCTCTGCATGGTAGCCAACTTCAACTTATTCAATTAAGCTATGGCAATAAAACCTGGAAGCTGACTGGTTTTCCCTATGACCACCCAACCAATATTGAGTAGGTCCCCCTTTTGCTGCCAAAACAGCCCTGACCCACCGATGATGGTGCCCTGCTATCCATCTATGCAATATTAGCTTCTTTTGTGCTGTATACTTCATCAGGTATGATTGATGCAAAGATATATAACTGCTTACAATTTGTTCTGTGATTTTAACTTGGTTTTGTACAATAAAGTCTTTTTGATATTTTTATACAAACATACACAGTTTGTGCAATAAAAGTCCTATTCCTAGAGAGGTAGTTTTCAGTTAGGGACGATGGCACATTCCAACACCACGCTAATACCTATCTTGACCCATCGAGGCAGGAATTGCCACTAGTTAAAGCATCGCACTGCCTGTGCTGGCTTGATTTCTTCCCATAGTGCACCCTTGTGTATCTGTGCCCCAGGTAAGCAACGCACATGCACCCGGCCATCCACAGGATGTAAAAAAAAAACTGATTCATCAGACAAGTCCACTTTCTTCCATTTCTCCGTGGTCTAGGTCAGTTGCTCACATGCCCATTGTAGTCACTTTTGGCCATGTACACAGGTCAGCATGGATACCCTGACTGGTCTGTGGCTATGTGACAAACTACGATGTGCTGTGTAGACAACTTTCTATCAGAACCTGCATTAACTTTTTTTTCAGCAATTTGAGCTCCAGTAGCTCTTCTATTGGCAGTGGCGTACCTAGCACATTTGACACAAAGGGTCAATCCTTTTTTTATATCCCACCAAAAAATTGGCAAAATGATTGCAAATTATACCAAACTGTAGTTGTGACAAAATTGCACTAGCAGTGAGAGGGGACAAGAGGCATAGTTAAATAAAGCTTGAGCCTACTCCCCCTATACTCAACACCCATATGCCACAGTCCATTACCCACAAAATATGCTCAGCACATAAAATATAACAAAAAAAAAATATGAAACTGTACTTTGAGTGCAGTACTCAAGAGTAAGAAATGTAAAACATATTGAGGGAAATTTATCAAAACCGGAGCACATAGAATCTGGAGCAGCTGTGCATGGCAACCAACAGCTTCTAACTCCAACTTTTTCAGCCAAGCTTTGAAAATGCTGGCTGCCTGAGTTTTCATAAATTCCCTTGGGTGTCTATAGTACAGGGGTCAGGACTGCTGAACGCACAGGCCACTTTACAGATTACAACCAAACTTACCCCCTCTTCCCAGACAAAATCACCACCCCCACTGTACAGATCTCCGCTAACATCACTAAATCTCCCCTCTCAGACTATGCCCTCACTATAGACTCCCCCACACAGACCCCGAACCCCCCAACACAGAACACTCAGAACAGACCAACTTCCCAAACACAGACCAACCAGACTAACCCACTCAAAAAAAAGAACCCCCTCAGTATAGACCGACTCCAGCAACATAGAACCCTCAGTACAGACACTGTGCTGTACACACAGTACAGATACTCTCTTCTCCAAAACAGACAGCGTGAATCCCCAGTACAGACTGCACCCTCTGGCCAGAACCTTCAGTACAGAAACCCCCATACTCAACCCTAGTACAGAACCCTCAGTACAGAAACCCCCATACTCACCCCTAGTACAGAAACCCCCATACTCACCCCTAGTACAGAAACCCCCATACTCACCCCTAGTACAGAACCCTAAGTACAGAAACCCCCATACTCACCCCTAGTACAGAACCCTCAGTACAGAAACCCCCATACTCACCCCTAGTACAGAAACCCCCATACTCACCCCTAGTACAGAACCCTTAGTACAGAAACCCCTATACTCACCCCTAGTACAGAAACCCCCATACTCACCCCTAGTACAGAATCCTCAGTACACACACCCCCCCCCCCCACTGTCCCCACCCTTCAACTCATACAGAATCCTCAGTAAAGGCACTTTCCTATACAGGTACCCCCCAATCCCATACAGAATCCTCAGTGCAAACACCCAGCGCCACAAGTACAGGTCCTGCTCTAAACTTTGCAGTGTTTTGTGCCTGGGAAGGTGGGATTATCCGGGAGAAGAGTGATGTGGCAGCGCACCAGCATTGAATCACTCCACTTTTCCCATCCACGGATCACTGTATCTGGTGTGGTCAAGCTGCCAGTATAAAATGTAAAGTGAGCAGCTGCTGCATCGGCACAAAACTGACATGACATTTGACTTGTGGTACCCGGTACAAGCATCCCCTTAGGTGTGCCACTGTTTATTGGATTGGACTACACAGGTCAGCCTTCTCTCCCCACATGCATCATTGAGCCTTGGCCACCCATGACTCTGTTGGCGGTTCACCAGTTTTCCTCCCTTGGGCCACTATTGGTAGGTCCTGATCACTGTAGACCAGGAACATCCTGCGAAAGCTGCAATTTTGGAGTTGCTCTAGAGTTCTCCAGCCATTACAATTTGGTCCTTGTCAAAGTTGCTCAAATCCTTACGCTTTGCTCATTTTTTCTGATTTCAACACATCAATTTCAAGTACACCATGTTCTTGTGACTTCTATCAGTGTCCTGCTGAATGCTGGTTAAAGCTTGGAGTTTTCATTCTCCTCTGGAAAGATGCAGACCCCCTGATCTCCATCTGAATAGTGCAGATGGGCCCTGTGCTGATCACATGCACTCACCCAAGAAAAAAAAAACTCTAGCAATACACACCAAACTGAGCATGTGCAAAGTGACTCCAAACCTCTGTTCTATCAGGAGATATTTAGGGGACAATAAAAAGGGGAGGATCAGAGAAGACAGAATCAAGTATCCTTTTTACACAATGCAGAGGATTAACCCCTTAGGTTCCACAGTGAGTATAACAAGCATGCTTTACTGCATATACAGACTGAGTGTACTGTTATGGGTTTAGTAACACTTTAATGTTGATTGAGAGATTTTAGATTCACTTTAAAAGGCTACATTAAGCTTCATTTACTGCAGCAGGAAATTATTATGCCAGTTATTTTATACAAACAAACATTATGGAAACATTGGCATGCGTTTCTGAATATTACATCGGAACGCTAACAGCAATGTACTGTTTAGCTGTAATTAAAGCTATTGGCTCCATTACAACGTGGACACCTAATCACCATTTCCTCATATTCATTTAAAACGCATCGATTGAATTTATTTTATAAAGCTTGCAAACTGCTATCATATCACTTTGCTCTAAAACCAAATCATATATTGCAGCAGAACATAGCCCACTCGAAAATAAACATGCTTGTTATTGCAGCGAAAATCATTCGGAGAAAATAGTTTTTCTTTCCACAAGCAATCCAATATTCAATGCAGGCTATTGGTGTGACCTGTTATTGACTCCGGCACAGAACGCCTTCCATTAAGTGAGCAATTTTCACTGATCACAGACTGTATTCCTGTGACACAGCCAAACATATCTGCTGCAAATAAATCATTCACATTTGTCATGCTGTTTTTGTATAAATACATTTTAAAAATAAGATCGTTTTCTTGGCAGCCAGAAGTGTGGAGGTTTCTTCACTGCCTATAGTAGAGCCTTTTCTATAACTATGATACAGGCAAACTAGACACCAGCCTAGGGCAGTTATT